GAACTGCTATGTTGACAGAAGCTGGGACAAGTAACAGGAGCTCACCCAGTTATGCAGCACTAGGGATTCGAACCGGTAAACTGCTGACCTTCTGATCTACAAGCTCAGCGTCTAAGCCACTGAGCCACTGCATCCTTTTAGGAGGTTAGGTTAGGTTACAATTAAAAATAGTTATCAAAATCCCACTGAGTACATCTTAAGGTGGTTCACTTTCAGTCAAAAAAGGTCAGAAAAACCTAGATTTTGCAATGGCAAAAGGTCTCTTGAAGCAAAATTTTACTATTAGTCCATTCAACAACAGCATATTTCATATTTAAAAAAAACCCTGAGCACAGCATTTACCTGTTATGATATGGATTTTTTAAATCCTCCCTGTAGATAAGAGCTAAGTTTATATTTTGTTTAAAATACCTAGGGTTCCTCACCAGCCCAAGTCTCTGCAGAATGGACTTGCCTGTTCCACAAACCTTAACTAGGATGACATGTAAGATGCATATGTTATGTATAGTCAGCTTCTAACAATTGTCCTAGTTGGTGTTGTGAAGAAGGTGGAGATGCAAGACTTGATTTGATGAGGTGGTGCATAGTCTTTTTTGTTAAGAAAGGAGGGGTTCTTCTTTACTTACAGAAAACAGTCTTATAACTATGTATCAGTTACCCTGCCACGAAGTAATTTCTGAAAAGTTTGAAGCCTGTCTAGATGAATGCTGTCCTCCTAACTGAACTTCTGTCCATAACCAGAAGTTGCTGATATTGGAATAGCTGTGCTCCTGCTGAGTACTGAAAGCAGTCACGACATCTCCAATGCTAGCATATGCCAGGCCTTCTACGTCCACTTCATTTTCTGCAACAGAACAAAAAAAACCCCCACCTTAGCATTATGCTTTATTCAAATGGAATGCAGTATCTCTTATACAAGCTTCATTTTCAACATAGGCATAGCTAGCTTTCCTAGGGACCACTTATTTCCTTTGCCTGTGCCTGTCCAGTTCAATCCAGCAGGATTTATTCTGGGTCCTGTCGATTAAAGTCATCTTGTAGGACACAGAAAGCCTAAATACTGTTACAATTCTTGCCCTCTGGAATGATCTCCCCTGCTCTGAGATTTTATAAGCCTCCCATCTTCGCCTCCCTTCTTTTGTTTCAGTAAGTTATTTTTTAGTTTTAGGCTGCCCAGGATTGCTTGGGAGCCATGTGACCTATAAAATGAAAACAAACATAGATCTGGCTCAGTCATTCTCCAAATTTACCATGCCTTTTTATCATTTAACACTATAGCCAGTGACTTTCTGCTTATCAGACTCTGCATTTTTTTTGCTGCATAACTTGTCAGTATCATGAAAATGTAGCACTAGAATCATTACTGGGCATTGCCCACCTGAGTCAGAATGCTCAGAGGAAAACCGAGATGAATCCAGGCTATCTGCTTCTGCCCGTTCCATATTCAGATGGGCTTGCAATTCTTCTAAGCGCTGGTGCAAATTCTGCTGCTCACAATGTAGCCTCTCTTTCACTTGTTGAGCTTTCTGTTCCTGGTATTCTAGCTTCTGGGAGTGAAAGAAGGATGGAAAATAATATTTGGAATTGCAATTGAAATGCTTCCATATCTCCTAGGAACATCACATTGGCTACTATTGGGAACAAAAAATAGCACAACCACTTTCTCAAATTCAGCTGGAAGCATTTGCTAGGTAGTTCACCCTAAACAAAAAACTGAAGGAATTATAAAAAGTTATTCTTGGCTGGATTTAAGATTTCTCCCTTTGTTTTTATTGGTTCTTAAACTTACTTGAAGGCTGGCAGTAGTTTTTCTTTTTTAATACAAAATTTATTCAAAGTTTAAAAGAAAACACAAAAAACAAATACAGAATAAAGGAAACAAAACGGGTGCAGAAAAAAAGCTGCTGGTTTTCTTTGTAGCAGATATGTAATGTTGCATAAGTCTTATTCTATGATTACAAAAAAAAGCTCACTTTTTTCTACTCAATTTTTGTTTCCTTTACTCAATTTTT